CATGGAGTATGTAAAACACCATTCTACTGAAAAACCCCCAAACCCCCACCTCCAAACCCCATTGAAACTTCATCTTCTCCAAACTATTTCTGGCTTTTATAAGGAACAGTTCAAACAAGCCACTGCAATTCAACAGCAGCGCAGCCTCCAGGAACTCACAGCATATTGTTTGCATGTGAAACATTTGCTTTCATGTGACATACGGCGTAACCCCCACCAGCACAACCGCCGAGGTTGCTAACACTGCTACATGCAAACCCTTTTAATGCTGCAGCAACTTAATCTGACAGTAGCAGCAGCAACAGCTAAACTGTAGGATCCTGGTGGCACAGATGTATCTTTGTAAGTTTGACGTAGGCAGAACATCAATATCAATGTTCTATTCATACAATTGGATATTTGTAAGTAGTAGGCAGCACACTGTGGAAGACACCCTTGGATTTTTTGGGACAAACGTTATCAACAAAGTACTTTTTGCTGAACTGCTATTTAATCTACTGTTATTTTTCAAGGAAGGTTAGTACCCCCACTGAAGTTAAAAGAAGTGCTCAAGCACTCTCAGGTCAAGTTTCAAGCCTTCAATCCACACAGAACGTTTTTGATTTATCTTCCACACTTGGATTTTAAGAAAATTCCATGTTTAGACATTAAGAAACTCCAAAATTACATTGTTATAAAAAGCTAACTATGGAGAGGTGATGGACGTTTGGGTTTTTTTTCCTTTTTAAATATAAATTTAATTTTGGAGTCAAGCCTTGGTGTGGGCGGTAATTTCAGCAACAACTTCAAGGACGCTGAAGAGAAATAGCCATAACCTGTTATGGATCCATAAACTGATGTGGGAAAATAAACAGCTTGCCAAATAGCTACTATGGCTATGAGCCTTAGGCAGCAGTTTGATTACAAAAGTCAAGTCACTGAAAGATGAACCGTCCAGAAAGAAGCTTACAAAAGAACATCTCAGGTACTTCAACATTAGTTTATTAAATCAGCATTTTTATCACCACTTTCTAAAAATGATTACAAAGCATATTAAAATATATTACAGTATCTGCAAGGAATTTATTGTGTAATAAAAGTGCAACAATAATGAACTTACAACTTTGCTTGCCTAGTTGGACAAACAGCAGCACACTGCACAGATCAAGTGTTCCCTCAAAAATTAAGAGTGTCTTTGAAGTGAAAACACAGTATTTAACAAAAATATTAGAAAAGTTGAGCATGTGAAGTAGAAAACAAAGTTCATGTTCATTCCCTCAGTGCGAAGTTACACATACCCATCAAACCACACACTTCAAACTCTCTGCTTGAATGCCAACAACATAAAGAACAACAAAAGTGAGTGCACATTGCGAAGGGAAGGAAGTGAGAAGAAGAAAAACAGGGCACATTTCAAGTCCTGGGGATGAATTATGTTGTTGAAAACCAGGGACCGGATACTGCTGCTTTGAGACGAGCTTCCACATGCATCTACACCACCCCCAACTAACAACTGGGACCTCACCCTGATCTACAAAATCTTTGTAAACTCACCATTTTGAAGCTGCCACAGCTTTAACAGGCTCTCGCTATCCTGTACTGTGGTTATGAGCGGCAGCCCCACATTGTCTGTTCCCTTTTACAACAAAAGTATAATTAATTTCTGTGGGAACAGAACTAGGGTTGGGATTAAAAGAGTGTTGCAGAATAGTTGGAAAAGAGTTAAAAGCAGCAGTCTCTACTTTGGTTTATGGCAGCAGACGAGAGCAGTGGGCACTGTCAGAGGATGAATTATTGACAGTTTTGAATGGTCTCGCAGCAAATGCAATCTAAATCCTAGGCATAAAACAGCCAACAAATCCCACATCTTAGTCCTTCTTCAGCAGAGATTAGTAACATCAAACTGCATACCAAGGGTTACCTCATACTGCTGTTCCCAATAACTACTTGGAGCACAATTTCATGAGAAGGTAATCCTGCTCCCTCCTTGCGCTCCTACCACACGGACTCACTAACCCCACAGAGCATTATCCCAACTGTTGCGTGTGGCTGGTTTAACTAACTACGTGGGCTTGCGGGATCTGACAAGCCAAAGAGCCAGCAAGGCAAATGGAGTAGATCCAGAGGTTTGTGAAGAGGTAGTGAGAGAAGAGATGCCTTCCCCTGAGCAACAGCAACCTACTCTATCAGTTTAGCTGTGGAAGAAACTGCCGTTTAAAGTCCACATGGAGTGTACTTTATTCCTACCAACTAAGGACGACGCTAGTGCACTGCACCACGTATGGAGAAATGCATAAGGGCATGTAGCTCTGCATGCCAATCTGCTGTTCCTCCAGATACACCACCTCTACTCCTATACGTGCTTCATCGATTCCGCTTCCATGTTCTACAGGAAAACAAAGCAAAATATTCCAACCCTACCTAGACAAAATATTTTAACTTACCAAAATGATGCATTTCAGTTTGTCTCTCCTAAGTCCAAATTCAGACACTCTCATGGAGTCTGAAGAAAAGACTGTGTTGTCCATTTTATTACCAGTAAAGGTAGAAACATAAAATCACTGAGAAACTACCCTGCTCCTCTCACCAAAGGAGGATATTTCTACTGGCATGGGATCACATGGCTCCAGTGCATTTGGAGCATCACCCCTGGAAGCCACACACAGCGGGAATTCAAACATGGGTCCACCCTGGAACCCTGTGCAGCTGAAGAGCAAGGTAAGGCAGACAGGGTCAGAAGATCAGCGACTTCCAGATCCTCTCAGCTTTGCCCACACTACAGTAGTCACAATACACACCCTTGCTTGCTTTCTCCTGGTGGCTCTCCTTGTGAAGCTAGTCAGGCTGGTCAGTAGTGTATGAATTTGTTACTGACTGCAGACACTACACACAAACAAGGGTATCTTACTACTTCTGCAGCCTGTCTTTTTAACAGCTCCTGCCATCTCTATAAACTACTTTTTTTCAGTCAAAAAATAAATTACATAGAAAATCAGTTACTCTGCAGATGTACAGTCACACAGACTCATGGTCAAGTTTCACAGCTCTACTAAAGTGCAGAGAGATGCACTAAGGCTAATTTGGCTCCTAATTTAGGTCTAACAGAAACAGATGGTATGCTTGAACGATAAGAGAAAAAACTAAGAATTAAAAAAAGCAAGCAAGTCCTCAAGAACAATTTAACTATGCCAGGATATCCTTGATACAGGCCAGGAAGCCCAGCAAGGTAAAGGTGTTTTGCTTAAAATAGTTTCATTGTTTTCACATGGTACAGCCCTGGCAACATTCATGGTAATTTCACATCAGAGTAGAACAGAAGCCCAGAGACAAGAGGTCTGGAAAGATCTGAAGTACTAAACCTGACTGACAACCTATAAGTGCACGATTTGAAGAAAAGATGCCCAGGCTCTTCTTAAGTCCCCTACAAATTTGAACACACAAATGTGGCTAAAATCTTAACTGGGAGCCAATACCCAGATTACTTCCCTCCCCACTCCCACTGCAAGGATGGTAAAACACTTTTTGGCTTGCTCTTGTCTCAGAAAGCACTACTGCTACCACTTACTGAGACTCCCGAGAAAAAGTGCTCGCAATTACAGTACCTTTGAAGTGTAGGGTATTTCATACTACAAATGGAGTACAAGTCAATTCTTGCTCATGTGTAGAGAGCAAAACTGACTGCCAAGTTTGATTTTAGAAAATAAGTGGCCCTCCCCAAAAGACTGAAGTTCACAGGGCCAAAAATTTATGTTCTTTTAAGGTACTTACAAAAATCAGTTGTGAGCAGCCGATATGTTCCACTTTGATTGTGTTGTTAGAAAAAAGGATGCTTATTAAGCATCCATTCCTTTCATGGATTGTTTTCAACAAAGGAATAATATTTGGAGGGACCAGTCTATCATGTATTAAACAAAGATTCCTGTTAGTCTCTCCATCTTTCAAATCTGCCACCATAGGAATCTAATCTCTCTTCTGTGGTTGTCAGCCACATGTTGGCAAAAGAAAGAGTTAAAAACTTTTCTTAAAAATATATTATATATGAAAAATACACAGAGATAACTGTATAATTACCTGTAAATAGAAATTAAATACCCATGAAAATTTCCAAAGAAAATTTTATGTGCTTTGAAGAGGCTGACTTTGAGGAATGCACCTTTTCCGAACAGAAAGCGAGGCTTGATTTCAACGGAAACATGATTTTTTTTTTCTTTTTTAGCTTATGAAAACATTCTGCTGTCACTTTGAACAATTCAAGAACTTATTGTCTGGAGCAGCTAAGCTGAAACCTCAAAAGAAACTACAAATCCAAGGAACAAAGGAGATTCACTTCTTTTAACGATAATACTGAGTATATAGTGCTGTATAAAACTGAAGAAGCAGTTCTTCAGATAACAGTGATGACAGACTGAAAGAATCATTTTAATATTTTGCAGTTTTAGCTATAATCAGAGAAGTTTTAAAATAAGGCTGCTCTTTTTCTACCCCTAAATTAAATAAAGAAAAAAGAACAAAAATAAATTTCCTTTTATATCTCCCTTTTCTTAAACTATAGAGATGCTGACATTCACTCGATGCCTGAAGTATGCTTTTAGCATATAAAATGTTCCTTGCATAGGTAGGTGAATTTAACATTTAGAGCTTCCTCGCACTATTTAAAATAGTTTGGAGAAAATTACAGTTGATGGAAGTACTTAGGTTTGGTGCAGGTCAGTGATTTTTATACTTTTTTTTCTGCTTTATGGTTATAACGGCAGCAAGACATGGAAGCAGGACAAAAACATTTTCACCTTACCATCACACATGATGATAGATCTATACAAGGCACTTGTGATAAGCATATCTCAGTGAAGGTCAGCAGGGACGACTACATGAATGCTCCCCGGCTACTACGCTTCCAATTTCAGTAACTTGCATGAAACGTGCTGTGAGGTTTAAGAATCTAAGCCTAATTTCAAATTTTGGTGGTTTCAACACATTTGTTGAAAGATTTCCAAAATCCTCATTCTTCATCCTCGTGTTTTTCACTCTGCTGTTTGCAAAGGTTTCCTGTGAGAGGGTGGCACCAGGTGGGAAGGTAGCGTGCCAGGCAGTTCATATCCATCCAGTTTAATCTTGATAAGATGTTTTGCTAATGCAAACTCCTCATCATCCAACATCCCATCACCATCACAGTCTGCAAGTTTCCAGATCTTCCCCAAGACACTGTTGGGTAGTTTAGAAGTCACCATCTCCTTCTTTGCACTGATCCCAGATATTTTGCCATTGATTGGTGACAGAGTGTAGAAAATCTCATCATAAGCAGGTTTATCTTTGGCAACAACCCATTCATCTTCATCAGCTCCTTCCTTAGCACCTTCTCCATATCCGTGGCCAAAAGGTCCTGCCATGGTGCCATCAAATGCTCCCCCTTGTACCATCTCTGTGGGCATATTGCTCTCTTCCTGTCTGATCAGGCTCATCAGGGAGGCAATTTTGTTGGCCAGCATGTTATCTACAGCTTCAATTAGCTTTGGTTTCAAAGAGTGAAACTTAGTGAAGTCACAAGTCTCCAACAGCTCCTGTCAATGACAAAGGTTCCAGTGACAGTAGTTAGAAAAACTTCCAGTATATTGAAACACATTAAAAAATGAGCTGTATAGGAAATTAATCTGCTATCTTTTGAAACAGTTTCCGTAACTGAAACTCCTCTTGAAGGAGAAGCAACGCTGACACGCACATATAATACACCTAATATATTGCTGAAATACACTAGACAATTTTGCAACAGTGTATGAGCTGGTCTATTACAATACCATTTTCAAAGTAGCAATGCATGAAAACATGGCAGTTGATGAACGTTACCTAAGTTTTCCATGTGGCAATTTTCTTCCAGACATCAAAGAAAGTATGCAAGCAGGCCCTCAGTCCAGCTAGCACTTATGCATGTGTTTAAGTTAAAAATAAATCCAAGAAATTCCAGGACCGATCTGATTTTATAGATTAAACTACTTGTTTGTGGTTAGGTCATGAAGGTTAGGTCCTTTACCAATAAAGAAAAACCGAGTTGGGATAACAGCAGCAGCATTTTTATAGAAGTGCTGCCAGAACTCATGAAGTCATATGGTCCTTGCCGAGTTTTCATCTTGTACATAAACTCCTCCTAACCTCAATGACATGTTTTACTAGGTGATATCTACTATTACAACACAAGCCCAAGCATGTTTTACACCAGAGCGTAGAAAAATTAAAAACGCTTTAGGCAATTATTAAATGATTTCTACACGCAAACTGCTAGCCAGGAAGAGAGAGGTACAGTGGAAACTGTTAAAAAACCCAAACAAAACTCCCCAAGTTCCCTCTCAAAATGGTGTTAAACTGTTTTGAGAAATCACATCTATCTCGGAGAGCTGCTCCCATACCTATCAGAACTATAAAGTTGTGAACACAAGAAACCTGAAGCACAGGCGAATGGCTTTGCCCATGCACAAAGAACTCTAGATTTCTTACTGGAAAACTGACAACCAACAACCATCACTCTGTTCAGGTGACTTTTATACACAATCACCTGATTTACAGCAACTGATCAGTATAAATTTATGATACACAATAAATCTTAGAAAGCAAAGGTCAAATCTGCTATCTGTCTTGGCACAATTTTGTTTTCTCATAGTTTTGCTCCTCATTACAGGGGTGATTCATCTCTCCTGCATATATTTGCTGCCATCTGCTGCTGAGGCTTAGTGACAAGCACTCCTACTTTTATAAAGTTTCATTCAAATTTTTTTTCAATATCCAAACTGACAAGTGATCACCTCTCATTCTCTCATTCCCCATCACCAACAAAAGTGGCAAGGGAAGGAGTCAACTTCTTCCACACAGCCCCCTTTTAAAACCTAACCCATGAATGAAACCTTTCCAACAACCCTGCCTGCAAACATAGCTGAAATAGATCTTACGCTTCATCTATAATTTACTGTCTCATGCCAATAATTGATTCCCAAGTTAAATATGTTAGTTCATAAAAGAAACCTATGCATCCCTATAGACAGGTTAATCAGCCAGTCAACGCTCTATGATGAGCAGCTTAAGTGTACCACATAAACTGTCAGAATGATACACATGATGGAAAGCATTCTCCATCACACTCATGACTAGCCCATGGTTGGATCAAACTGGAGGCTCCTGATCTCATGTTCTTCAGCTTCAAAGCTGTATTATCTTCTGATTCAAAGGCCACTTAAGAAGCCTATGATCCGAGATTCCAAATTTGAAAATTGAGGCTTGAGGAATACATTGAAAAGCACTGCCAATACATTAGCTCTTCTTCCCTAGGATACTTTGCTTCTAAACAACCCACCCCAAATCAGAGGACAGAAATAAAAAGACAAGAAAGTGACAGAAAGCTGGCAGTAAGATGGCATAAAGTTCAGAAGAGGAACAAGAGACAAAAAGGTATTTAAAAATTAACAAGAGTATAAGTTGAGAACTTCTCTCTCTTCTTCATAGAGTACAAGCTCAAAAGGACAGGAAAAAAACTGAAAGGCACCATTTTCAGAAAAGACAGGTTTTAAGTTGGACTTCTCAGGTATCACACTGCCTTCGTTGCTCACTGGCAAACAGTGCCAGTAGAAGCAAGAACAGAGTAGGGTAAAAATGAGTAATACGTGACTAAGGATATCTGATAGCATTATGAAAGTGATATAAATACCCACATTTAGGACACAAAACAAGAGCCCCCTTAACCCGTAAGTTTCCACTGCCATTTTACATGCACAAAGCCTTTAGTACCATCTGCCCTGAGGGACCAAATAGTGACTAAACTGACAGAAGGCCTGATTCTTTATGGCAACTTCTGTAGTCCTGTATCAGTGGAGGCACACTAAGCAAGTTACCGATTTTTTTTGTTCTGCACTGCTTCCACATCATTCTAACCCCATAACAGACACATGATTGATTGTCACTTCAGCTGCTCTATTGCCAAAGACCCTAAAGTATAAAGCTGAGATACTCTGTCCTACCTTTTCCAATTTGGCAATCCTGTTGGAAAGTTAGTATTTTTTCAGATGAACTACAGTTCAATCTACCATCTTACCTGCATTTTCTTGACTTCAGGGAAGTCCCCTGCTGAGATGTGGTATTCCCTTTGCAGCTGGATGTAGATCTCTGGCAATCTGCTGATCAGTTCCTTCTTCTTGTTCTCTTTTCCAAACATAGAGGGCATTTCTTTTTTCAGATAGCTGATGATGTAAGCATGAACCTAAGAAGAAGCAAAACTGAAATCAATACTACTGTTTATCTACACTTAGCATTAGTGTTCTTCACCCAGGTCATAAAAAGAAACAGAAATAATGTGTTTCCCTAAGTCAGCTCAAGGATAAGATATTATCAACGATTGTTTCTGGAACTTCATGTTTATAGGAACAGTTATCAGCCAGCTTTTGCTGCTTTCAGCATTCCTTTGATGGGCAGAGAGAAAGCAAACACATTTAAAGGGAATACAGATGCACACTTACAGTTTAAGAAGAGCACAGTACAGCACTCTATCAGTACCAACAGTGAGAGCAAAAGCAAGGCCCCAAAACCATGTCCTGACGCTACCCACATGGATCACACACAGAGAGCCAGCCATACTGGTCCGTCTGTCTCAATGGTGGAGATTTGTAACTCCATCTGCCTCGCCTATTATTATGGGAAGCAATGGGATAATGCCTCAAGTAATCCAAGTACACCAAGCGGCCGGGCTATCTAACGGAAGTGACACTGAATTCCTACCTATTTACTGCCAGAAAAGCGAGTACCTATGGTCTATATTTTCGCAGCCACAAGAGCATGACAGAGTAGTCAGCAGCTATAACAACAGCATGCCATGGCTGCCTTGCAAAGCCTTAGGGAGAAAAGTAGAACCATACCAGAATATAAAGACAGGCATGAATTTAGGATGGCAAGTCCTAAAACTCATTGATACACGCAGAGCTCTTCAAGTTTCCCGTCTGCCATGTCCATGATGATGCAGCACTGCCATCAAAACATCCACCCTACCCATGAACCCTCCTTCCACCCTTATCCCCAATCCACTCATCTCCTGCCCTTACCACCCTCCCACCACCAAAAGGATCTGCGTGGCCACACAGCGAGGGATCTGGTCCAGGACACAACGGTGGGTTGCCCTTTTTAACCGAGGTGAGTTCACTTGTCCAATTTGTCATGTGGATACAGATACTCGTGCTGCACGCAGGAGGGAAGTGCAAGGGCTGGCTTCTTCTAGAAGCAAGGTGCATCTATCACAACGATGTAATCAAACTGCTCTCCTAAGCTCTAACCCAGCCAGGACCACTCAAATCAAATGACCTCCAGAACAGGCTGAGTGTTTACAGAACTCAGGCCTTTCTTCCGTAAAATAAAGATGTAGCTGTTCCCAAAACAGCACTTACATACAGTTTCCACACACACACAGAAAGTAAAAAAAAAAAAAACAAAAAAAAAACATAAAAAAAAAAGAATGTCTATCAACCCATTGAACAGTAAAAAGCTGAAAGTTTGAAGACTGGGGGAAGAAAGACTGCCACAAAAAAACATCAGTAGAAAAAAGTGATTACATAGATATGGTGTAAGTATACAAACCTAACACACCATCTGTACAGGGAAAGTGCTCTCCCATTCCTTTCCTTCCTTCCTTATTTAGAAGGCTTACTGGAAATTGTAAAAAACCCCTTCTCTCTTGTTTTTAAAGAAAAATTGTGTTACCAGTTTTTCTTTCTTTGCACATCTTAAGATCCCAACTTTCATATTTTGCTGTTAACAGAACAGCAAAAATGGGCAAGAATATACATTCAACACAACCTCCTCATATCTAGAGAGAGTGAATGAATTTTAACTGCAGATAAATTTAAATTTCTACAGAGGAGAATAAAATAACATCATAAGGAAGCAGGGTTTCTGCATAAAACCATGAAATTTTCTAATACAGTAGACATGAGTATTTCTCCAGAACGACAGAAGAGATTAGAGTTGCTAAGCCACTATCCATCATCATATTTGAGAAGAGGTGGCAGTTCGGTGAAGACCCTGCTGCCTGGAAATGGGGAAACATAACCCTCAATTTTAAAAAGGGAAAAAAAGGAAGACTCAGGGAACTACCGGCCAGTCAGTCTCACCACTGTGCCCAGCAAGATCGTGGAGCAGATCCTCCTGGAAACTATGCTGAGGCACACAGAAAACAAGGAGGTGCTTTGTGACAGCCATCATTCCTTCACTAAGAGGTAATGGTTTTAAACCGAAAGAGGGTGGATTTAGATTAGACACTACAAAGAAATATTTTCCTGTGAGGGTGGTGAGACACCAGAACAGGTTGCCCAGAGAAGCTGTGGATGCCCCATCCCTGGAGGGGTTCAAGGCCAGGCTGGATGAGGCTTTGAGCAACTTGGGCTAGTGGGAGGTGTCCCTGCCCATGGCAGGGGGGTTGGAACTTGATGATCTTTAAGGTCCTTTCCAACCCAAACCATTCTGTGATTCTATGAATTGTAAGTAATTTTATGGATCTTATGTTTAAAATACTTCTAGCAAAACCAGAAAAGAATGTTTATATTTCACAAGCACTAACAGTTTCACATGTGTATGCTTAGCATTCTACAGTCTGCAAATAGGCACATGTGTTTCTTATAGATAAGAACAGTTCCCATCTCCAAAATGGGACAGTGAGTCACAGGACTTGAAAAAAAAAAAGAAAAAAAGAAAAAGTTAATGCTCAAATTTGACAGCAAGTTAACAGTTTGGTTTTGGTTACCGTGCATGCTTTAGAAGAGATTAAGAAATAGAAATAGGACAAAAAAATACCACACAATGCTGTAAAAAAATGATTTTTTGAGTACTTTAACTTCAGTTTGGAAGAGAGAAATATGACACAGGAAAGATTACATTGCTGCCTTCCTGCAGATAAACAGTTTATTCACATTCCATAGCTGTCTAATTAGCATGCCCTGTGAGCACTGCATTTTGTATTCACCTTTATCTATTTTTATTTTACATTACATGGAAACACCTGAAAACAATCCATCTGACTTTTTTACTTCCAGAACAATTTTAACAAATGAAAGCAAAAAGCTGCCAACAACATCCACAAAATAGATTGAGATTATAGCAACTTTCAACACAACATCATCAGGAACATGATTTTAAATTGAATTTTTCAAAGAAGCAACTGCTACCAGGTGCCCTAAGGCTCAGGCCACAAGAAAAACCTAAGTATATAATTATATTCAGAGAGTTAATTAAGTCAACATAGGAAGTGCTATATACCCCCACATGACTATTCTTATATCAATGCAAGTGCAAGTCCTCTTTATTTTTGTTCAGAAGTCCACGTGAAAATGTATTCCGAGACAACGGCATTAACTCAACTCACATTCTGTTTGGTAACTGCACAGGAAATGCGAACATACTTTAAATTTAGAATTTGTCTGGTACCACCAGCAGCTTTCTCCCCAAGTATTCTAAGGTTAGCTTTCCTTCTTTTTCAAATGAGAAGTAATAATTCTTCTATCACCAGCTTTCATTTTGTTCTTGAGCTTTTCAAAACAAGAAGAAGCTTGGCAGTGCTTTTCACTATTATTCTAACAGCAGCTGCAGTGCTACAATGAAAGAAACTCACTGCAGAACCAGAGAAACAGGCAAAGAACTATTTCAGATGGCAACCCAAGCTTATTCTAGTAAGGCTGTGAAAAGAAATTCACCTCTCCAATTCATCAGTATCTGTGCTTCATCAAGAGTGAGGCTTTTAATCAGTCTTGTATTCCAGAGTATAACATAAATGCACTTAGTTAAAGTGTTTTTCCACAGCAGCTGATTGTCAGTATGCATTAAGGCATTAATATGCAGAAAAGCATATCGAAGGTTGCACGTGAATAGTTTTGGTTGTAGTTTTTTTGCCCCTCTTTTTCTTCTTTTAAGTGTTCTCTACATACCAGCTATTGTCAAAAAAAAAAAAAAAAGGTTCAGCTCCAAAAAGTAACATTAAGATTATCTTGCTGCACAGTGTAAAAAAAAAAAAACAAAAAACAAAACAACCCCACACCACTCTTCTACCAAACAAACAATAGCTTTAATGGCCTATAAAGCATCAAATCCCTTCTCTAAAGTTAGGGAGGCATCCCAGCACAAGTCTATTTATTTCCACTACTTGCTTCTGTACCCTGGGTGGTTACCTCTTCCTTGAAAAACTGACAATTCAATTAATTTGCTAAAAACACAGTTTATACATAGAGAAAGATTGGGAAGGGTGAGAAAGGACACACTTAAAGTGACAGAAGAGACTGCTCATTCAATTAATTTAGGTTTTTTAATCTTTTCTTACCTTTGCAAGTCTCGCCCTCTTAATGAGATCATTGAGTTTCCGCACAGCAGCCTTCTGCGGGAGACTCTGGATATCCTTGAAAAGATCTTGTGCCTCAGCTTCAAAGAGTCTTCGGTTCTCCGTGTTTCGGAGAGGATGGGCCCAGAAGGAACCAATGTAGACCCGCAGCACCTCTGGAGTGTTGATCACCTTTCCCAGGGACCACATGAGCGCACCGTAGACCCTCATCAGCTGCTGTGTGTCCACTTGGTCAGCCTTATTAAGCACCACTCGAATCTTGTCATCCTGGCCCCGGAATGACTTAATAGCCTCTGAAAACTCATCAGATATATCCAGCTTATGGGCATCAAAAAGGAGGATGATGCGGTCGACCCTCTCGGCAAACCACTGGAGGACTTGGCAGAAGTCGTAGCCTGAAGGAAGAACACACCATTACAGTCCTACCATTCAGAAAAGCAAGTGTCAGAAGGTAGGGCTGGGGATGGAGAACAAAGGGATCACAGCATTTACCTGGGGGAAAGAGAGGAGACAGACCACCAGGAGGAGGGTATCTGTGGACAATGAGGTCAGGACAACTGTATCCTAACTTTTCCTTGGACCGGTCTCACTATTACCGCCTTTTGTTTTTATCACTGCCCTTCCCTCAACCTTGCCATCCATCTCCTGTGTCACTATCTTTTGTGCTGCTGCGAGTTGCTGTCCCACACCCATGTTTGCCTCTTCCCAGGAGGTCTGGCCCCAGCACAGTGCCCAAGCTAAGCAGCTCTGTGGGGTCGTACCACAAGCTCTCTTCACCGCTGTTAACACTGGCCGCTGTGGTAGCGCTGCCTGTCTGTACTAACAAGGGAAACGGTGCAAGTGCAGCCCTCCGGCAGAAGTCAGCAACCGAAAATACTTGGATTTTAAAAGCATTTCTGAATTCATCTCTCTTTGCATTGCAACGTTTGCTGCTATTTCTACCACAGCAAACTCCGAGGTCCAATTTACCAGTAACGTGCCTGCACTGCTGATGGCTTTGGGGACGTGACAGGTTACAGAACACAATGAGCAGTGACCTCTGACCATCCGAAACAAACTTTTTGACATTCTAAAGGAAAGCCCATTTGTAGCACCTGTCTGAATGCTTTTGTAAACGCAGCTGGTAGCCTAATCCACACAACAAACTGTATTCGGGAGCTCCTCATTCAGAAGTGAGGCACCTAATCCTCAGAGAGTCACCACCAGTGATGTGGCATGGGGCTTGGCATGGATGTGACTCATCTTGCTTGAGTAAGGCACAGCAAGGTATGAGCTGGGAGTTCTCTCGGAAACAAATCAGAGCTAAAAGAAGGAGCAGTCAAAATGCAAGGACTGGTGTAAAGTAACCCGAAACTCGACAGTTTTTCCCCCAGCAGCATATATTTAAATGCCAGCAGCAAAGAAAGCTCATTTAGCACAAGTGAACCCTCCAAGGGTGTCTTTGGTCATTTCTCAGCTGAGAAAGACAAGCCTTTAAACCTCCAATCCCCCAGCAAAGAAAACCCACTTAGAATACTCATACGTGAACCAATTATACAAGCACTTCGTACAGCTGGTCCAGGTACAAGCAAAACACTTCACCACTCCTCATTCTCCCTAGCATCTTTTAAACAGTACAGAAAAAGGGGCATGTGGACATTATTCACCACACTTTCAAGTTGTTGGTCTTTAACAGGGAACTCAAAAGCAAAACAGCTTTTTTTTTTGCTTTCCAGTACAACCTGACTAGGGCCAACATTAAGAAAAGCACAAAAGTAACAGGAAAAATCTCCAGATTTGTCGTGGAGCATACTTGTGCATATTTAGCAACACAGGAAAGAACTCAGTCTTAAATCTTTTGTTCAAAAATGACAAATAGCATATAAAATGAAATCCAGAAATTCTAGTCTAGTAGGAAACTGCCCCCAGTTACCTCTCTCCCATTTTCCCAAAAAAAGAGATCACAAAGCTTCACCAAAAATTCAGCACAGACACATCAAAGTAGAGGGCTATACTAAAAAGGTGTTATTAGCACCCAAAAGGATACAGGTCAGACTCATTAACTGACTATTTAAAAAAAAGCCAACGTAACCTTTCCTGTTAAAAGGATTACTTTGTAAGTAATGCAAAATCTGTCCCCTTTACAGACAATGCTGCTCTGGTGCTTTCATGCATTCTTTCCTGTGAGCAGTTCCCGAAGAGCTGAACACGAGATGAAAGGTGTGGGCAAGAAGGAAAGCTGCATCTGAGAGAGAACCTGTCTTACTTTACACTAACAATCTTATCAAAACCAGTATGAATAATTTATCTTTATAAATTTATACAATTTAGCAGGAAAGAAAGGGAGAAGCAAGATCTTGTATGCCATCTGCATGTCACAATGCAACAGCATACAAATCTGAGCTATGCAATAGTCTGTTCTGATTTCACTCATGTAGAAGGAAATCTGCTTGAAAAGAAATACATAAAACTCCAAAATGAAGCAAGTCAAATTCTATTATGTTTTCTACAAATGGATAATGTCAGAAGGTGACTTATTAGGTAAAATAAATATATAAGTTCCCAACACACATTTGATGGAGTTTGAACTGTAGAAACAATTGTACAGTCAACAAGTGTAGTTTAACAAGCAATAAATTTATTTTAAACATGAATTAAACATTAATAAAGCATTTGTGTTAAGAGAAGTCTGCTGGTTGCAAATTGGTAAGAAAAAGAGACATCATAAAAACTCCAAAAAAATCTTTCATTTTAATGAAAATTTGTCATTAGAAGTAAACCTATTTTATGTACAGACTAAGAGGTTACACACTAGAGTATACCTGAACTACAGAGAAGCCATATATGGTTAAATATTTCAGCCAAGGGTTTCACATGATTGATTTCATTTCTCCTCCCTGTCCCCACAGAGAATAAAATGCAGATCTATCCCACCACTCACAGCAATCATCTTGAAAGGAAACACAGGACAGCACTGAGACACAAGGCATTTAGGATCCTGTCACATACAGTACACGTGTGTGGATTGGGGCTTTCAAAGTTGAGCAATAATCAGTCAACACTGAGCAGTTTGGAAAACCTGACAAAAAAAAATCTGGTGTTGATACTTCTCAGCCTCTTGCTGCTCTACTGTTGCTATTTCTTCAAAGGCTTGTGCCAGGGACTGATGTCAGCAATTATATCCAGCTTGAGGATCTATGTCTCACCAGGTACAACAGCTACTTGCATATGAGAAAGCCACGAGTCACCCTGGTACCCAGCTAAGGGACAGAGGAAAGCAGCGATCCACCAGCAGCACTGCAGAGCTCTTGAGCGCATCCCAAGCCGCAGGGAGGGAGCGAGCCGGTGCCTCCAACGAAAGCCCAGTCAGGCATCAGTAATGGGCTGAGTGGAGACCACAGAGGAGAACAAAACGGAACAACGCAGAAGAGATGGAAAAGCTGGGAAGAGACTGCACGTGACTACCAGCCCTGGAAACACTGATGAGAGGAACGATCATGAGCTCTCATGTGTCATTGGCACAGGGCAAAGGACCAGCCTGGTACATGCCAGCCACCAGCCACACTCAAAGATACAGCTGTGCAATCATGCAGTATCAGCGCGGGCCAATTTTCTGTGCCAGTTCGTAATAAAGATTTAAACAGTAGCCTTTCCCTTGGGGGCTCATGCTAAATAACTTCCAACTTGCCCTCACACCATCTCCCAAAGCTTTTGCACTTCAGAAAACATTGAGGGAGGCTTGATGGGCTCCACCCATCCTCTACAAGCGCAGACTGGCAGAGTGTCAGTTCTTCCACCTGCAGGGCTGGTGCTGCTGGCACAGCAGAAGACAGGTGCCTCTCAGATGGATGCTGCAATGAGAAGCCTCCAAGCTCAGAGAACAACATCCACTCACCAGCTGAACGCTGGAGAGATCCCACCTGCCATGTGAGACTGAACGCTGGAGAGATCCCACCTGCCATGGCTGTTTAAGCACCACTCAACCAAGGCAACAACACACACACGCTCTGCACGCGGACAAGAGCAGCCCCTCACTCGCAACAACACACACACAATCTGCACGCGGACAAGAGCAGCCCCTCACTTTCCGAAAGCAGCTCTTCCTCACACCCTGCCAGACCTTGCTTCTCCTTCCTCCTCTCCTCACGCTCACTGTTCCTTCCAAATCTTGCAGACCACACGCACGTCTCTGTCTGACATGGGCTTTGGGAATGTCACCGGTGATGCTGCAGCAGCACTGTCTGAGCGGGGACAATGCTGGCACACTGCACATCCTCCTCCAGCCACTTACACAGCCAGGAAGCTTCTGGCACATCCTCCTGCCGACAACAGGAGCGGGAAAGCGTCAAGAGAGCTTCGAATGTTGCACCCTGTATATTTTTGACCCTTCCGAAAGCCATCAGCTCCTTCAGCCACAGCCAGGACACTTTCCAGAGTTATAAATAAAATATGCTGGGAAGTAGTGCATATCCTGTAGTTTTACATAGTCCCTAGACTGGTTTCCTGCATTTTAAAATGGAACGTTAACATTCGATTGCTGTTTTGGTCTCAGAAGGCTTCACCTTACTCCTAGTGATACCTGTCAAATTCTATCGTTATGCAGGTGTCACATCCATTCACAGACAAACAGTTAAGCAGTTGCTCATGGGAAAATGGAAAAAACCACCAGCAGCAAAGAGTGAAGGTTTTACACTGAGGTCCTGTAAGGTTATTCTTCCATCAAACACATGAAAACATTACCAATAAGAAAAGTTGCTGCTCACCAATGTTAGAAACAAGCCAAGCTTCTAGAAAGGTAATTTAAAAACTCAGATATGAACAGACACCAATAATGCACAGAATAGAAAGCATTTAAGAATACTTATCAGGTGTTATTAAAGGTTATATTCTATTACTGGATTATGAAAAATCTCATCTTGTATGTATTATTTAGAAAATAGCAGCAAGATATGAAAAACAAAATTTTAACAGAAACAGAAAAAAAACAAAAGCTTAAAAAAATTGCTAAACTATAAGATTTTGAAATACAAAATTGTGTAATTGTCAGAAAAGAAATTCTGAATAACCACCCTGTTTATTTATAGCTTTCCTGGCAAGCACAGGCAAACATCCCTATGTTTAAGACTATGATCACCTTCACAGTGAAAGCAAAGCGCAGTTCCCATAGCAAAGCACACCAGCTGCAACCTCATTTCAATGAGAAGCAGTCAGCGAGTTTAAGGGGTAACAACACACATTTTGAAGGAAAAAAACCTTTGTTGGTCTGAAGGTGTAGAAATAGAAGCTTCTCATTTAGGGACAGCAGAAACTATCTTGTAGAATCCTGCTTCCATTCGCACACAGTGATTTATAAAGGAATCTAAGCAACTCAAACTTCAAAAAGTGCGTAATTAGACTTGTAAGGAGTCAGCCTGAGTCCTTCAGGAAGCAGGTCAGACAGCCCTTGCTGTGTGCAGCACCACAGGACAAGTCCAGTTTGTACTCCACAAACCCCTGTATGGCAACTGCACAAGCAGCCCAAACGTCATATAGGGGAAATGTATCTGACTACGCAGTATTTCAGACACAGGTGAGCGCGGTATTGCCTAATCATACGAGCATGCAATAGGTGCAATAGGTCCATACAGTGAGTTATAGGTACTTCATATATGCTGATGCCTAAGTATATGAAACCTTACACCTTGGCAGCAGTTGCCCTGCAAACCTGGAGCACAGAGAGAACAGTGCTCTAAAGCTGACTCCCAAAACCTTATTCGTGGTACAGCCACACTGGTTAAAGCTAAACAGCATACAGAAGAACATCTGTGATTAAAAAAAACTATGAGAAGTAATGTATTCAAGACAATCCTTAACACATGGGAAAAAAGATTCATTAAATGCAAACTAGTCAAGTTAAAGCCAGTGAAACAGGTAAGAGTTTGACGTTACAACTGAGCACTGTTAACTTAGGTGAAAGTCTACCATACCAAAGGGTAGGCCAGCTAAGCCATAAAAATAATTGATAAGGCACATACCATCAAGAATTCTGTGCAATAAAGGAACAACAGCCATATGTTTTGTTAAGTTACTAGTGCAATTCTAGATGGCAGTGAAGAACCACGGTCCTTTAAGCAACACAGGACTACCTGGGAAACATCACCTGGGGTGAAACACAACCATCTTACACGTGAAGTCTGGGACTTCTGCATCAACCCCTAATGGTGTTGAATTTTGTCACAAAATTGCTCACTTTTTCAGTGGCGTATTAATATGATGCTCTAATGTTCTGCTTATTTCAAGCCCACTTCCATACTGTTATGGAAGTGGCAGAATATACTTGAACATTGCCAAGCGTAATTTTCCCTTAAGGAGCAGAGAGAGGGAAAGATGAGCCTGATTTTTCTTGGTGAAGGAAAAAGGGAGCTGGAATCCAAAACAGAGAAGCAGGAGCTTTAAGACCATCTTTGATTTTATCAGACTCTGTGTAAGCTGAGACTTAAATCTTGTGTGGACATCTTATGATAAATTAAAGATGACTAGTTACACACTTGGTCTTTTCTGCCTAGAAATAGGAGTGCCAGCTTGCAGTATTTGTTTTACTTGTCTGGTTTGGCAACATTCAAGCCTTTGCTTGCACAGATGTAGAGCACTCATTGCTCTTCATCTCCACTAGTTCACCATTATATCACATACAGGAAAACACAGCTCTCCCCATGGTGAATGCTTTACATGACTGTATGAGCAATAAAAAGGACAAAACCCACATTCAGACACTGAACAAAGAAAGCAGAAACACCTAGCAGACCAGTTTATTAAGCAAGGATAATTCAGATCACAGTCTTAAGTTAGTCTCTTATTCTGTCAGTGCAATGTAAAGACAAGACTATGGTTGCACAGGTAGCACATATTATGCTCATTCCAGGATTTCCTCAGAAAATCCCCGCTGTGATACATTAAAGAACTGATTACTTCCCCCTCCCACAGACACAAACCACACACAAGTTTCAATTTCCTAAGCAAAGGTCTGAAAACAGAGGGCAGCATAAGCCACACAGTGGATCACTACCATTTGCAACTCCACAGAAACCTCTGATGTGCACCTAAATGCAGCTGAAGGAAATAAGTTACTTACATCATGCTGTTTTCTTTTAATAGTTTCTCAGACAGGCTCATTCTTAAACAGCATGTTAAAAACAGGGCTCAGTTCTTCACTGAATTTTCATCTTATTGAAAAAATATTCTCATTCCCTCTTCCTCCCTGCTATCTTAACTCTTTTGACTGAAATTTATATTACAACATGACTAAGCAACACTTATCAGCTCTGCCCACAATAAAAACACCTTATTTATAGCCCAAACCCCTCAGTTTTTAACCATGACCAGCTTGAAGACCTATAGCTATTAGGAAACATTTCTTCATTCATTAACTTCAATAGTAGATTTATGAGTCTACTCATTATTACTTTGTGGAAAACAATTAAAATGATGGAAATACATCTTTTTCTCAGGAGTGTCAAAGCACTAATTAGCCAACAGATCATGCAACCATAGCCATTTGCAGCCACAGTAGCAGGATGACAGAAATACCAACTCCACCACTTTTCAAGAGAAAAAAATTCCAAACCCTACTTCCAGCCTTAAAACATGGGTTTAATAGGCCTTGTAGTAAGAAAGTTTGGGAGACACCACTACTCAGACAGAACCCCAACAGATTAGGATGATGACCTGTCCAGTACAGCAAAAATAGTCAGCGAGCTCGGTTATTTTTAAACCCTGCAACTCACCTCTGCTGATGCGCTGCTTCTCTCCAGAGAGAATGCCAGGGCTGTCTATGATACTGATGCTCTTCAGTACCTGGTTAGGTAACTGTGAACACATGAACCTGCAGGAAAGGAGGAGAGAAAAAACACTAACAATAGCTCTAGCTCACATGTAGATTGTCCCTTGAGAACTCCCCTTTATGTATCCGCTTTTAGAAAGACTCAAGTGAGATTTAAAAAAAAAAAAAGTTTCTAAAGTCCTAATGAACCCCTATGTTTGGCAACCATACATGTTTAAGAACACAAAATGTAAACAGAGAACTTCACAAAAAAAGAAAACACAGGAAAATCTTGTAAAACTGTATGTCTAAATGCTGATAGAATTCCAAATTTTGCAAGAGCTGACAACACGGGCCATACATGCAACATTAAAAAGGCTGCATCGTATACACAGGAAAATTCTTCATGTACTCCAAATTTCGCCCAAATTCAAAGAGATTCAAAAGAAGAGGGAAGCAGGCAGAAAGCCATACTGACAATACATATATATTCCAGTTACTGCCAAGCCCCCTCTCACCTGCTCTGGCAGTGTGTGAACCGTGAACGGTCCAGGTCTCCAACCCATCACCCTCCTTAGTCTGGGCTTACGGAGGACTGAAAACCAACAGTATTTATCCCACAAATCGAGCAAAAGCTTTCACGCTGCCAGAATCCAGAGTTCAAATTACACACAGCAGGCTCTAAACAACAACCTCCCGCCTCTGCGATGGGAAACAGATTCAGTGGTGGTATTATGAAAAATAAATAATTCACGAGTTAAGCAGAACACTTCATGTGTTAAATCCAAACTACTCTGGGACCCTTCATGACTGGGGAACTCCACCTCCCTTCAGCATAAACTGCCTTTAAGATATTTGCATAAGAGTTTAATCTCCTTACCGGGTGAAGATGGTACTAAGAAGCACACAGCGCAACCTGCCCTCCTCCTGCCGGGCTGCGGAGCACGGCCATGGCCCCTCTCCCCAGGGCAGCCGGCACAGGACTAAGCTGCAGGCTCAGGCTGTGAGATGAGATGGCTGCTCTGCACTAACGCATCGCTTCGGAAGGCACGCTACCTCAAGATATAGGGTACCACCGACAGCAAACTTCAGCTGTACCACGGCCAGACAAGAACTTTAAGACCAAAGATAATCTGAGTTAGGAAGAGTTCAGGCAGTCATGTATCAGGTACAAAATGTATGTAAAGTGTATCAAAATTTGGAAGTTATTGTTGGATAAATAATGATCTAGATGATTCAAAGGAAATCGGGAAGAAAACAAAAATCCTCACACCTTGCTTCACCTTATTTCTCAGGTGACCTTGTAGTCACGAGTCTGCACACAGCATCCCTTCTTGGGTACGACAGAAACGGCAGCATCAGCTGTGCCCCTGCCCGAAACCAGAGAGGGGATAAGGGAACAGCAGCATCTCGGCATGATAAAACCTGAGGGTATGTGAACACCACTGCCCTTCTTGTTTTTTGGGTTTTTTTGTTTGCTGGGGTTTTTTTGTTGTGGTTTTTTTTTTTTTTTAGTGGAACATCAGGCATGGAAAATACTGCATATCTTGAAGCAAGCTTTTCCACTAAAGCTAATTTTCTAATTAAGACGCTTAAGAGATGCTTTTGAAAGAGCAGTGAGGTACTATTGAATAAAATAACTTTTTTTTCAACTTTCCAAAACCTAAAGGCGACACTATGTTAAATACCTTTTGTGTAAGCAGAGCAGACGTGCATAAATGACAAAGAAAATACATTTGACCATGTCAACCATTACAAAAATATATACCACTAGCATGTACAACACAAAGTAGCTTTCAAAAATTTGGAACAGCATAAAGACTGAATTTTCTCTTTTTTTTAACCACTATTTCACTTCAGAAAGCACAGCACTTGTTAGTATCACTGAGATGTTTCTAGGCCTGTCTCACAAGACAACAAGCACCATTATTCCAGCTGAACAATATGGCAGTATTTTGGCGTAGGCATCACCCAAACTGGGACAGCTGGAAAAGGCTGTCCAAGAAAATAGAGAACTACAGAAATGGAAAGACATTGCAGCCTTTGCAGCAGTCATTAGTGGCAAAGGAAGGAGGAAAATATATAGGGAAAAGATATGAAATAGAAAGATAAACTCAGAATTAACTGGCTATAGCTTTTAGAATATATCCATAATGTAAAGATAACAGATGGGTTAAAAAAATCTTACATCAAACTATTATTTCAGACAACTGAAAGCACTAATGCTAATTGTATCTGAATCTCTTTTTTTGACACTGAGAATTGGCTCTGAACCACTATTTCTTACACGACCTGTATGAAGTCTGATTTTTATGTTCTGCCTCATAAAAAGCAAAACTACATACTATCTACCTTAATGACAATAGACCTTCACAAAAAAAAGCTTTATACAAATAGCTGTATGAATGAGATGACTGTAACTGCTTATGACACATTAGACCTATGACATTGCCACGTTTTTGTACTCTTATGAAACTATTGTTAAAGAAAACCAGCAATATTAGACTATCCTTGCAAAGGTAAGTTACACTGTTTGCAAAAATGAAATAGTCAACTTTGTAATCAACTGGTGATTTTATTATTTCTTTTAGATGAACTTTGGATCCTCAAAAATCTACTAAGAATTTATATTCCTTTTTGTGTCCATTCAGAGACCCATTGGAACAGAGCAGGACCACCAATTTATTTCTGAGATCTTCTGGTATACTGTGCAATATTCCTTCCCCCCTTACTTTAACCAGTGACCAAGGGCACACTAAGTCCTATCCCCATCCCCTTTCCTGCCAACTTTCCTGAGAAGTACACAGAAGAAATAAAAGACAAGTTTCTACACTCAGGAGCCTTACAGAGACATCTATCACAAGCAGTGAGACAGAAGGGGAAATAACAAGGGGTCATGGAAAAAAAAAGACAAGGTAACATCAATAAACTAATGTGGCTAATTGGTAAGTAGAAGCCTTCATTGTGCTACTGTGTTTGGTGTGTGAGGTTGTTCCATAACCTCAGCCACTGTTTCCTTTCCTGTTAGGTTTAGATGAAAAGGGCACTCAACTTCAGAGTCTAAGTGGCCACAGACTTGTAAAAGTAATATCTTGAATTTTTCCTCAAAACAAAACACTAGGATTGTGAAATCATTTAAAAAAAAAAAAAAAAAAAAAGCTGGGGTGAGGGAGAGAGAAACCTATAGACAAATAATATATGAAGACAGGAGTGAAAAATGAAATATTGGGTATGAAGC